CCATATTCCCATGAGGTGCATCTGCAAACTTAGCTTTAACAGTGACCTTGGGTTACATAATTAAGGACAGGACTAACTTTGTAAATATTCTGCCTAATTACTGGACTTGCTTTTTACTTTTTTGGAAGTCACTCATTTGGTCACCAGGAAGTAGTGGGTTTTCTGTGACTGTATTGCAGTATAGACCCGGCCCATCCAGAGAGCCCAGAAACAAGGCGCTGCTGGCAAGAGCCAGGAGGTGCTGGCCTCGAACACTCAGCAGACCGGCCTCTTTGAAGGCACCTCTTATGATTATGATCCTTAGACCTGGAGGATCCCAAGCCTGGAGGTCATCGGGTCTGTGTCCCACCTCCAGGGGCAGGAGGGGCTGTTTCTCCATCTTCTGGACAAGACAAGTGAGGCCCAGGGAAGTCCCTAGACCACACATTATCTCAGAATAGAGGGGATGTGTTTCTGACTGCCCAGAGCACGCCTCTCTCCTCTCTCTCTCTCTCTCATCCTCTCACCTTTCTCTGAAAAGCTCCTTTAATGATTCCCTAAATCAATGATTTGTAGGCCAGAAAGCTACTAATGATGTGGTCACCACCATCATCATCCTAACAGTAACCATTTATGGAGCTCCATAACTATTCATAATCATTTTCCGTGTTAAATAAATCTGACCTAACTCTGTAAAGAAGTGGGCCCTACGAATCAAGATTATTACGTAAATTAGAAATCACCTACAAACAGCAAACGCAAGTGTCTTAAGTTCCATGACACGAGTCCCCATCTGTCAGTTTTGTTTCTGGGCTTGAGTCACTGTGAGTCACTCACACAATTTCAGGGGGTTCTGTCTGTCTTCCTTAACTCAGTCTCGAACCTGCGGCCAGTTGTAACTCTCTGCTCTTTATGTGAGCTATGTTAAAGGTCAGCTTCAGAAACGCCCCGTTCCCAATCTGTTTTCACCAAGGAGTGATCCTTTGAGATCAAGTATTCAATATCAAGTAATATTGATAATCATGATGGATAATAAGAAGAATTACTATTCATTGAACACATGTTCTGCGCCTGGTCCTGGGCCAAGCAATTCTAACAACCAATTCAATATGTCTAAATATAGAAAATATTTCCTTAAAGATTAGGAAGTTGAAACTCGGAGATTAAGTGAATGGCTCAAGGTGGAAACCGAGCCTAAATCTGAACTCAGATCCACTAGCTCCCAGTTCCTTGGTGCCGTCTTGCGAACGACCAGTAGGTCTATGGTAGATTGTTCTATGAGAGCAGATGGTTGTCCAAAGTGGGTTAGCACACATTCGGACACATTCATGACCATCGTGTTCGCCCTGTGATAACCAGGTCTCTCTCAGGATGTCGCAAAGTTCCCAAAGTCCTTTCTCCTCCTCTCTTGGGTGGTCCTCTCCTTTTCTTCTGCCACCAAGTACCTAAGGTCATTATCAGAATAAATGGCATTTTCTACTTAGATCTTTGGCTTTAAGGAACTAAGAAATCCTAATAAATCAAGATGTGTCAGACTTCCCCATAAAAAATTAATTAATTTACTTCAACAACCAATAAACAGATCAAACAACATAAAAATCTATAGCAAAAGAAAGAAAACCCTAAGCCAAGAAGTATATGGTTTCTTTTTACTTAACATCTGATAAATTTACATTTTCCTCCTCTGCCCTTGGGTGTCTTAAACTAAAATTCTATTGATATTTCCATGTAAAACTATTTTTTTCTACGGAAAATCCACCATATCAGAATCCCTCTATTCATTCTGTTTATTGGGTTTCAGACAGACAGTTTCTCTCCTCGGGAATAATTCGTATGTCAAACCTGTCATTTAACATCGTATCTGGTAGCATTTTTCTCCCCGCCCCTCAAAATTTAGCTTAAAGCCCACTTAATAAGGTTTGTGGGTATCCTGACAAACACCCTTCTCAGGCTCCATGAGATTTCTGGTGAGGCAGGCTGTGATCCAGCAAAACAAACCCTGTCCCATTGCGGGCATCTAAACAGTGTCCGGATCCATGTCCAGACCTGTTCTTCTTCTCCACAACAGGAGGAAAGGATGAAAACACCACCCATGCCTCCAAATCTGACTTCCTATAGCAAACTTAGCCTTTGCAGCTGCAACACCCGTTTCTTCTGATTAGTGCATTCACTTCCGTGTGAGTTAGGTGAAGGGGTCCGTCAGCTTAATCCCTCCCTGCTGGTGCTCCATCTTGGATAGTAATTTCCAGAAAGGAGCACCTCCTCCTAGTTGTCCGGGTCGGCCCATTAGAGACCTCTGTCTTCTCAGCCGGGAAAGGCAGTGACCAAGAAAAAGCAACAGACTGCCCCCTCTAGGGATTTGTCTTTCTCAGCCGTTTTCAGAAAATCGGGAGTCAGCAACCTTAGAAAGAATTCCATATCCTATCGAGTCCTCCCCCTGCTCTTCCTCCTCCTCCTCGCCCTTCTCCCTCTCTTCCTCCTTCCCCTTTGGCTGCTCTTAGGCAGATGACACGCTTCTGCTTGCTGGCCCCTAGACAAGCTCAGCTGTTGGCACCATGAGAACAGTGATCTGCCATCATATCCAAGCACATAGTAGGTGCTCAATGCTGGATGAATGAATGAATGAATGAATGAATGAAAGCTAAAGCTGAAAGACACTTAGAGACCATGCAATCTAATCCCTTTGTTTTGCAGATGAGGAAACTGAGGCAGGGGGCTTTAGGAGACCACCCAGGATCACACTGTTTGGGTGTGGTTTCCTGACTCCAGGCCTGTGCCTGTCACCCTCTCGGCTAAGACCAAGCGTCGCCAGGGTGCCCTTGCCCCTAACCAGAGTCTGCATTTGTGGTGGGAGAGCAAGCATGGTGTAGGCCCCCAACCCCACCCCCAGCACGACAGTGTCTGTATTTTCTCTTCGGGATGAACAAAGAGTCCCCTTTTAACTCAACAGACCTCACCTGCCTTCCTCCTGGTCATTCCTGCTGCAAACAGCCTGTCTTCCAAGCCCAGCCTGGCATTCCTCAAAGATTCCTCAGGGCCATCTGCTCCCTGGCCTCCTCTAAGCTTCGGCTCTGGGGATGTAATGTGCCCTTAGTGAGACTTGACGCCTCCCACCTTTCCAGAACAGACACCAGCATTCCTTCCACAGACAATATCCCACAATTAAAAAAAAAAAAAATTATAAAAGCTAAAAAGAAAAAAAAATGCTGGTGGCATACCAGAAGTCTCCAAGAGGGTGACGGTCATCAGTGAAAAAATTAAGTGGATCAGCCCAGAGATAAGGCATATCTATTACACTCTAAATGTTAAATTAGTCAAGTGGTGGGCATTTGCATAGCGATGCTATAGAAAGGGAACAGCAGAAATTGCTTTCTTCCCTTTGTGTATAATCACCCAGAAACATGAAGGCCAACAGAGATTAAAAACCAAATCATGTCCCTCCGTGCTTGTCCAGTGAGGCAAACCTTCATACTGCACAGTGTTTACTCGTGGGAAATGGCCAACTTCTAGATGAGAGGAGGGGGGGGTTCTTTACTGCTATTTCGCTGCTGACCTGCATTTCTTCTGAAAGGCATGAAAATGGAGGGAAAGCAGCTCCTGGCCACTCCCTGGGATTGTTCTCGAGGATCTAGACAGACCATAAGTAATTCGGGGAGTCACTCACAAAGACCCCGGCCCTGCACGTCTGTGGCTACGGCATTCAGGCGAGCGGAAGGTAATCAGCGCCACCAAATGCAACACAAGACTCTTATCAGAAGATGCCATTTTTTCCTAAATGTCATATATACAATTTTTATTGGAGCGTGATGACAGATAGTGAATAACTTAACATAAATTTGCATAATACAATACAGCTGTTAATTTATGATCATATTAAAGCACAAACTTTTGTAGTTTGGGTGCTTAAAGTCGTAGTCTTTGGAAACTTTCCCTCCTGTTTGCTCTTTATTTATTAGTTATTTTTAGGGTTGCCAGATAAAATACAGGTGGCTGGTTAAATTTAAATTTCTGATCAACACTGAATCATTTCATAGTGTAAGTATGTCTCGTGCAGTATTTGGGACATACTTATACTAAAACTTATACTAAAACATGATTCATTGTGTAGCTGAAATTCACAGTTAACTGAAGGCTTCTAGTTTTATTTGATAAATCTGGCAACTCTATTCTAACTTCATCAACACCTTGTCCCCTACTGGCTCTGTGCTCACAGCGGGGAGGGGGGAGGTGTTGTGTAGAGAAGGGTGCCGGCCTCTGGGCCCTTGGTATCTTTATGCAAAGTCAAAGGGATCGGATTATAGAGGTACCAGTGCAAAGGGGGAAAGTGAGGTAGGCAGCATACCTGAGTTTTCCTGGCAGCACCGAGTGTTACAGAGATGGTTTTCAAACTTTCTGACCACAACGCATCATAAGAAATATATTTTATAAATCAACCCAGTCCAGACATACCCATGTAACTGAAACAAACGTTTTATGAAACAACATGTCGTCTTCTATGTGTGATACACTGTATGTTCTATTCCATTCTATTTCCTTTTTTAAAATGCTGGTCTTAATCCCCTAAATTGAATTCACAGTTCCCTAAGGCATCGTAGCCCACATTTGAAAAACACCGGGTTAGAGGGTTATAGCTCAGGAAAGTGAATGAAGAGATTTCTTAAAAACCCACTATACAAATGAGGAAATGTGTCGGATCAGTTAAGAGACTTTCCAAGTCCATTTCACTAATTTGTGGCTAAAACTAGGAATAAAACTTGGGTCCCCCAACTCTCAAGCCTGTGTTTCTGGTTTCATTCTACCGCACTTTCTAGTGTCTGCTTTCTTGATCTCCAAGTTATAATGAACATTCTGGGAGCCACATTGTTTTTATTTTCTTTTACCTAATTATATTACTTCTAAACCATTTTGTTATCACTTCATATTCTTCTAAAATCCCCAAGATTTACATCATTGCTGATCTAAAAGGATTATATTATTGCTTTGACATAGCAACATTTAAACTAATTCATCTTGGCACTTACCATTTGATCTTTAGCATCTTCCTTCCCTTCTGGCCCCAACCTTGTCTCACTATTTTGTTGCCTCGGGAGATCTTTACAATGCATATTCCATGTGCTCCCCCCTGGGACAGGCACTGTCAGAGGTGTAAGAAAAACATACAAACAATAATTGTTGTTTGTTACCATTTGTTCTCCCTGACCTATGAAGTTGACAGAGTATCTCTTGTAAATAATCCTTTTGGAGTTGAGAAAACATCGGTTCAGAGAGGCTAAGTGTTTTTCTCAGGGTCACACAGCAAATGCAGACTTGAAGAGCTCAAGTCTTCTTTCTCTAACTCCTATGCTCTGCCATCAGGACATGGAGGTCTGCTGAGCTGAGGCGCCCGCAAACAAGTACACTGGCAGGAAAAAGACATCAACCCAAGAGATATCCATGTGTATTGTATACTTTTCTCACACACTAAGTCTAGATTTTCAAACTACATTCAGAACTTTCTGGAATCTGATGATCATTCAGTTTACTATCCTCTAGATCCTCTCTATGGCCATCCACTCCACAACATACTTTTTTGCTAGATGTGATGACAAATTCCAAAGTCATGCATGGTCCCCAGAGCACCTTTCCCATTTCTTTTTTTTTAATATTTTATTTATTTGTTAGAGAGAGAGAGAGAACATGAGTGGGGAGGGCCAGAGGGAGAGGGAGAAGCAGAGTCCACGCTGAGCAGGGAGCCTGACGTGGGGCTCGATCCCAGAACCCCAGGATCATGCCCTGAGCCCAAGGCAGATGCTTAACCAACTGAGCCACTGAGGCACCCCTCCCATTTCCCCTCTTGTGGCCCTACAAGAGTACATCCTGGCCTACAGAATCCAAATGCAGGGCTCCTTCTGGTATTTTTATTAGCTCAGCAGTCAGTCAGTTTATGCAGAGAAGTCGACCTGGTGCTTTCCCTCTACCCCACAGAATAACCTTGCCTTTGGTTTCCTCTCGGCCCCAGCAGAACTCACAGGGCTCGGCACAGGGAGCCACAACCCACCTCCTCAGGGACGCACGAAGCAAGATGCTCATAGCGTGACTCACAGACAGCATTTTGCAGCTCCCATGGCCCTTTCCCCAATTTATCTTCCTCCACTCTGAATGGAGCTGGGCTGATGACGACGGCTCCGGGTTGGATTCCCTGCCTCAAAGCCAGGCTGAGCCCCCGAACCAGCTGCATGAGCCTAAACCTCAGTTTCCTCAACTGTTAAAAGCATATCTGCTCCCTTCTGTTGGGGCCAATTAAATGTGGTGACAAACATAAAGCACTTAGCATGGGTCCCAGCACCTGTGCTCTCCAGAAGCATATGTTTCTCTTCTGCCGTCGTTTCGATTCTTCCCGTTATTCCCATAGTAAAGATATCACCCCAGAAGCCTTAAGGAGACACGTGTCCCTTCTTGTGCCTCTGGTTCTCAGCATCCATGCCCCTCAACCAGCGGTCCCTTCCCTGCCACTCCGGGGTCCCCTTTCAGCCTGGAACTTTCCCTACCCTCCTTCCCTTCCAACAAACTCGCTCTTTTCACATCCCATTTCCCCAGGACACTGTTTCCTGCTAGGGACCAACAAAATAATGGTCGAATTACCAAGACCTGAGGACTTTGAAGGATCTCAGCGATTGCAGGTCGATCCCGAAGGCCCTCTCCTAGGCCTATCATCCAGCAGTCACTCCAGGGATGAGGGGCTCCTCTCTTCCATGTTTCACACGCTGGACCAGACCATTAATCCACAAATCCATCTTCCTACCACTTCCCCTCATTTCTTCAAACTCTGGGCCCCCATCGAATGACCCTTTACAAGTTAGAGACTACACCCCTCTGGCTTCTGCCAATGTTCTCCATGTGGCAGAGGTTCAAGCGCCCCAGCCACCCGAGTCCCGCTCCAGTCTGTGTCCCTCTAGAGGGTGACACAGCCAGAGTGGCGGCCAGCCCAGGGTGTGGGCAGACGGGCAGAGGAGAACGCTGCAGCTGCATCTGTGATCGTGGTTTCCAGTAACCGGGTGGCCCCATTAATAACCCGTTCTCCGGTAATCTTCCCTGAATGTGTCAAAATAGATCTCGGTTATTGTAACCCTGTAGAATAATAAGTCCTACAAGTTTAAAATATACTAGATAGAAAAGGTACTTCCTTTTACATGCTCCAAAAAAGTGAACTCCTTCAAGCATTCCGAAGCATGGTGAACAACGTCATCCTTTGCCCTCTTCAAACCTTTCCTTCCAAACACTTCGCTCTGCGGTAGTTTTCTGTGTCTGGGATTAGTCTGTGTCTCCCACGGGACCGGAAGCTCCACATACAACCTGGCAAACATGCCCAGCCCAGCTCAGCTGTGCCCACCTCCTTAGGGCTGCGTCTCTGTCCCCAAGGGACCCCTGCTTCCCTCCCTGCCCACACCTCCTCCCCTGCCCTGTCCATGGCTGTGGCCTTGACCCCTGGCTGCCTGGGCCTAGGAGCCTGCAAAAATCCCTCAGCCTGCTGGCCACTGCCCAGGGCCTCCTGCCGTGACACGGTCACCTCCCGCACCTCCGAGGATGCCGGTCAGGCCCCTGTGAGAAGCCTCGCTGGGTACAGGGGAGCTGCACCCCCCCAAAACAAATGGCCATAATTAACACGTGCCAGCTCCACGCCCCACAGCCATGAGGCAGAGAGCACGCGCCCCGATCAAACGGCAGTAAACGACGTGCCTGCGAAGGAACTCGGTTCAGTGCTTTTATTGTTTCTGTGCGAAAGAACACAAAAGCTTTTGGAAAATTGCTTCAGCACAAGCCTCCCCTTCTCCAGGAAGTGTTTCTGATCCCCCCCATCCCCGGCCCGGGCAGGTTGGGTGGCCCCCACAGGGCCCCCTCCACGTCCCCACTCTGGGCTTCCCGCCCTCCGAGGCACAGCGGGGTCCACAGGGCTCCTTCCCCTCCGGGGCCCCCACTGGCCCGGCGGCACCCCATCCCTCTGTCAATGCCCGCACACAGCAGGTGCGGGGGACTCGCTCCCAGTACAATGGTGGTCTAGAAGGGGTGGTCTGCAGACATCCCAGGAGCCTCAGACGTTGCTGAGAGAACCCCTGTAGGACAGATGAAGTTCTTCTTAGGAAAGATATTACAAAGACCTTTAAAATAAATATGTAAAATAAAAGCATAAAGATCGGAACACAGAAACAATCATTTTTTTCATAGAGAGGAGGGGAGGGAGAGGTAATGTCCCCTCATGTGGCCACAGTCACCCTTTTGGGGTTTTGTCCTACATTAAAGGAACAGTCCAGTATCAGATAAAACAAAAACAAAAACGGTTAACGAAAGTTACGCCCTGAGTGGGGCCTGGGTTGAAGCCCCTGAGGGCTCGTGCTCAGCAGCTCTGTCCACAGGAGCCCTGGCGGAGCCCCTAACTAAAGCCTTTGTCGGATGCCTCAGGGGTCCGCAGGTCCAGCTTGCCCAGCAGATGGGGGGATGGGAGGGGAGACCTGGCTGGGAGCACTCAGCCTCCCATTCCATGAGGGATGGGGTGCGGGGCTCTCATTTGCAGGGCAGTCTCCCTGTGACCCTCCCTCCCCACCTGCAGGCCTAGGAAGCACACGTGGGCAGGACAAGGATGGCAGAGTGACGGCCATCTCCCCCCACATCCACTCCAGGGAGGTGAGCCCTCCACATCTCGAAATGTGGTATGAGGGGAGCATCTGCCAACATCTGCCATCCGAAGGCCCGGTGGGGGCCACCTGCAGGCCGGCCGGGCCTTCCCTCTGGGCCTCGGCGGCCCCCCTTCACCGAGGCCCAGCCCCCTCCCAGCAGACCAGAGGCTGAATTCAGCATCTCAGCTCCACTGAACAGAAATCACTACCAAGGCTCTGAGGCACGCGCTATCTGTGGTTCAGTGAGTCTCCTCTCATGGCCAAATTTAATTACAAAGAAAGGGGGGCCTTTCCCCCAAGAACCCCATTCTTCTATATCCAAGCCCAGTCCTCCAGCTCCAGGGAGAGGGAGGGACGCTCTGTTGTGTCTGTGGGGTCGGGAAGCGCACGTCAGCTGTTACTCAGCCCGTGTTTACTTAGCTTCGCCACCACCGTGGAGGCCACTCCTGGCAAGGAATCCTTTTTACTAAAAGACGCCAGCTACAGAGAAAGGGCAAGGGCTAAAACTGCGTCAGGTGGGAGAGGTGGGGAGGCAGCCACTGTGGAGGGTACGAGGCTGCCCCCGGAGACAGGCCCTGGCTAAACACCAGCTCTCCCAGCGTGTGGCCCTGGCACCCAGGCTCTGGGCACCTCCATCTCCTCCGGGGCAGAGTGGGATCTTACCAGGGGACAGGAGGGGTTGTGGGAGGCTCTTGGCACAGGGAAGAGTTGAGGCAGGTCTCCAAGTGCCTCTGCCCTGTCTTCCAGCATTTACCTTCTAGCACCTTCCTCCCTCCTCTGGTCACAGGAGTGGGGAGGCCTCTCTCCCCGGCATCTCCCCCAAGGCGGCCCCACTGAATTCTTAATTCTCACTGGCACAGCTGTGTCCTTCTCTGCTGGGACGACCCCACGCCTGCAGCTACGGGGGTCTCACAGGGTCCCTGACCAGCATTTGTAGAAACAAGCGAATCTGATTCGTGCACTCCGCGCCTCATGTCCCAAAGCAAGAGAATTACAAACGGAGAACTGATTATAAAAGAGAAAGACAGTGAATTGTTCCTTCTGTTTTGTTTTGTTTTGTTAATTTTAACTTCAAAAACTTACTCACAATGAGGGTTGGATATATTTTAAAGGGTAGCTGGATTAGGGGGATTATTTTTTGTAAGAGCAGTAAATGAGTATTTCTGTGTGGACACGGGCAGGGGGAAGTCACCCCACCTCTCTGAGCTGTGGGTCCTCGTCCGTACCGTGGGGGCTGGGGGATTGAACTCATGGACCTTCTGAGGCTCCGAGTCTCTTTATGGTCCTGGGACTAATCTCCCACTCACGTGCCGGGGGCCAGGGTCAGCCACTCTTTTTCCCCGAAGCCAGCCAGCAGACGTACTGCCCTTCTCCATTAAAATCTGGTATCAGACTCCACTCGGGCCTCTGGACAGCAATCGTGGGCAAAGGAGACTTTTTTCCTTTTTTTTTAGCTTGGGCCTAGCCCTCCCCACTTATACCCTGAGATGGGAAAAATGGACTGAGCAGGCAAGAGGGAATTTAAAATGAGCTGAAAAAAAAAAAAAAAAGAAAAAGAAAAAATCCTGCCACAATAAATCACATCACAGTGGAGATCTCTATCTAACCAGAAAATTCTCAGCCCAGACAATGGCTCATTTATTTCCAACAATATTCAATACAACAGAATTCCAGCCCGACAAAAGGATTTCTACAGGTTCTTGGAGTTGGTTGCAAAGGGATTTAACCTACATAGAAAAGAGAGCTGTTCAATTATAGATTCCCAGGCGTGAGGGAGACCTTTGTAAATAAATTGTAAGGGGGTCTGCTGTAAATGTGGCTGCTTCCCTGGGGGAGCATCTCGCCTCCAGACAGCGAGAGGCAGAAGCACTGTGGCCCTGCCTGGAGGACGTTTGGGTAAATATTTGGGTAGAGACGGCTGCTGCTGGGATGGTGAGCAGAGCCGGCGATCGGAGGGAATGGCCCTCTCTCCCAGGCCCGCAGATGATACATTTCTATAAACATCCAGGCAGGCAGCCTCCAAAGACTCCTGAGCTTTCCAAACACATTTCCTATTCCATGGTCAGCGGGACTGCATTGCAAGCAGGGGCGGTAAAGAGGAGGCAGGAAACAGGAGGGTGGGGAGGGGTCTGGAAAGCCAGCCTTCTAAATTTAACACACAGTGGCTTTTAGGCCAAGTGGATAAAAAATAAATTCCAGTGCTTAAAGCTCTTATCTTTGTTTACCATTTCCCCAAACAGTACATGACCTGGCCTCAGACTTTTAGACCTAGCGATGGAGATGCACACAGGAATGAGGGGCGGGGCTGCTGGGGGCGGAGGAGGGGGGTAAAGAGAGCAAGCGGATCACCTGCCACCTTCACGTGACATTTCCTCGGCCGGCAAGTGACCCAGGACCTGCTAGTGTCACAGGCTGTCCCTGACTAGATGGGGTGGGGCTGAGGGTGCTCGTGACATTTCAGACCATCCTAGCTGTGGAAGGCACCACGGGGTTGCCCACATCCACCTCCTTTTGATGAGGGACCCATGAATACCCTCCAGCGACCTTTTCAGATGCTTAGTGACAACTTTTGACAATCTCCAGTGGCCATGGGGCCTTGCCTATTTCATTAAGTTCTAGTCACTGGAAAATCCTTCCCTATATTGAGTCAAAATCGTTCTCCCTGGGCCTTACACCATTGGGCCTGGGTCCACCCCACTAACTAGAGGGGCAGCACGTGCTTTTCCTTTGTCGCGTCTGCTGCTCAGTCTGTGGCAATGCTCTCATTTCTGCCCTTGGCTTGCTCGGGTCCCCCCGCCACCCAGATTCTTTCAGTGTGCCTCTGGGAGGGGTGTGCCAGCCCCAGCTCGCTCCCACTCGCTCCATCCCCTCTCCCCGTGCTCATCTGGAGCTGGCTTTGGTCTCCCCTCCCCCACTCAGCTGACTGAGGCAGTGTCCTTTCCTTGTCCCTAATCTCCGTGGCTGTGTCCGTGGCTGGTGTCCGAGACTCCGTCCAGAGTCCCTTCCTTTCCAGTCCCTCAGCCTCCTTTCCCTGGGTGGCCCTGTGGTTCAGTCCTCAGTGCCCTGCTTTTCTTTCTGACCCCCATCCCAGGGGACTCATCCCCCTCTGTGCAGCTGAGCTGGACCCCATATCCCCTGGGGCGCCCCCGCACAAGCCTGCCAAAGCAGAGCTCTTCTGGAAGGGCAGCCTCGCCCAGACCCGTCCTCCTTCCAGCTTTCGGCCACCCAGGAATGAAACCTAGGGATCGCTGTCATCACTTCACTCCCTGCCTCCTTACATGTGAAGACTCACCTCCCCTGGCAAGTCTTCCTTTAAAATTATGGGGACTTGGGGCACCTGAGTGGCTCAGTCAGTGAAGCGTCTGCCTTCGGCTCAGGTCATGATCCCAGAGTCCTGGGATCGAGCCCCACATCGAGCCCCACATCGGGCTCCCTGCTCCGCTGGAAGCCTGCTTCTCCCTCTCCCTCTGCTGCTCCCCCTGCTTGTGCTCTCTCACTCTGTCAAATAAATAAAATCTTCAAAAAATTAAAAAATAAATAAATAAAATCACGGGAACTCTGTCTCAGGCTGCACATGAGAATTTCCTGGGGAGCTTTTAGAACACTACCAACCCCTGCACACCAATCCAATTAATGCTGAATATTTTGGGGTGGGGCTCCGGCCTCAGTGGGGAGCAGCCAAGATGGAAAATCACTGTTTATATAGCTTCCCTTTCAACCCC